GTCGGCCTCCCCGAGGCGGCGGGCGCCAGGGACTCGCGGGACAACCCCTTGAGGAAGAAGAAGGCCGCGAACTTGAACAGCATAATCCACCGCCTCGAGAAGGCCGCCAGCCGGGAGGAGCCCATCGAATGGGAGTTCTGAGGGCGGCGCCCGCCCGCCCCGGCCGGCTGAGCAGCTCCGTGCCGCTCCGTCCCACTCCGCTCCGCACCGGAGTCTCCAGGGGCCGGGCGGAGTCTCGCGGGGCTGGGCGGAGTCTCGCGGGCAGGGCCGGCCCAGGGGCGGCGCCGACTCTCGCACGGACCGAGTTGCGCACTTACCGCCCTGCGGGCCACAGGGCAAAATCGCCATAGGCCAAGGTGCATATAGAAACAAAGGAGCATTAAGCCCAATCTATGTCGTGTTTTCAAGGAAGAAAACGGAAATGTGTAGTCGAGCTTTTTTGTACCCTGAAGTGTTTTTTTTATTGCCCTAAGTGGTTTCCACAGGTTCTGGAATAACTCTTACAGCTTTGCCTTGCGCCCTCCTCTTTCGTGTGGGCTTAAAAAAAAAATCAAACCCACATATTAAAAGGGGGCTTTTTATCTGCCATCTAATGGCTTCAGAGCGATAATACACTATTATCTTCTTAAACCAGGAAAAAGGGGGGGGGGAGATTTTTCAGAAAAAAAAATTTAAAAAGAAAGTTTTTGTAGCTGTTCAGTTGCCACTAAGAGATTGCACAGTCAAACCGACTCTAAACACACTAGTTTGGATTCCTAAATATTTTCAAGAAAAGAATCTTCTCGTTTGAAACTTTGAATTAAAATAAAACACATTTACTCCACATATTTTTTAACAAAAAGAAAAGTCACATCAGGAAAATATCTGATTTTGTGGTAGCTGGCGTAGTGTTTTCTTGTAAGTGAATAGAATTCTGACATGTAGTGCACATTGATCCATAGCTTTAACTGACTCTGGGCTTTTGCTGACCAGGGTTTGTTTAATACACTCCATTCTAGGCCAAATCAGGACAAAAAGAAAAGATCCGAATCTAGGTATTTTATAATCTGCTTTTTAACCTCTAACCGCAGAGCACGCTGATCAGACCTCATATCTCGGAGGTTTAGGAGACAAGTTAGAACTGTAGCATGTACACGTTCATTTTGTTTAATTTATGGTGTCTACGTCTGTGTTCATGCGTCTGCACGTGTGCGAGCATTGAAAGGAGGAAAGAGTAGGCCGGCAAGGTCACAGCAGGCAGATCTGGGGCCAGATGGTCCCCGGCCCACGTAGACAGCAGTCTACAGGTCTTTCCTTGGCACAGAAGGCACCTCACCTCACACCACTCTCCTGGGCGCCTGATGGACTGAGCCCTGCCAGGGGAAGAGGCTCCCTGGGCCTGGGCAGGGCTCGCACGCACTCTCTCTTTCTCTTTCTTCCCACCACAAGCACTGATGACCCTGATGAACTCGTGGGAAGCTTCCTTCCCTGCAGAAGAGAGAACTCCCCCCACAAGCACTGATGACCCTGATGAACTCGTGGGAAGCTTCCTTCCCTGCAGAAGAGAGAACGTGGCAGTCTGGGCTCCGCTCCCACCCCCGTAGAGATGGCCCAAATTCACACCAAAACGTTGATGCTCTTCACTTCCAGACCAGACCATTTGCCCTTCATTCATTTCTCCTCTTGGAAAGTTCTTTTATGCACAGTTTAGGGCAGTCTAAGTATAAATCAGAAGTCTAACTTGTCTCTGATTCCTCCTGTTGTCTATGTGTATATGCGTGAGAATAGAGGTGGGTGAGCGTGTGCGTGTGTGCGTGTGTGCAATTTTATACGTCTGTGTATTTTCTTAAGTACCTGTGCACACATAGAGTGCATTACTGCCACCTTTTTTCAATAAGCTGTTTTATCAGTTATGGCTTCTACAAGTTTGCTAATTTAGACTCCTTTATTGCCATATCTTTAAACTAACAATAGATGATTTCGGTATATATATATATATATTTTTTTTTTTTGCTTATTTATAGGTGCTGTATTTTATTATCTGATTGTTAGGAAGGGATGAAAGGGGCAAATATTCTTTAGAGGGATAGACTGCCGGCAGTATTGGGTATAATTTACAAGATGTAGTTGTCATACTGTATATTACTGATTGAAAACTTTTTGACCGTATTGTGTATCATTGGAACCTTTGTCTTAGGTCAACATCTTTGGATGACATTTTAATGGTGCATTCATTATTTCTTAAGTTTAATTAATATTACTTTTTTTGATTTGGGGGGGTGGGAGGGAGTAATAATTTTAAATGTATGCTCCCGCTATCACACCTCAGTGTGCTTGTTATTAATTAACTTGTAGGACTTTGACTGTAAGATGTGAAACCACATTTCTTGCATGATGTTTTAGAAATTATGTATTTCATTTACAGTCTTTTAACCTGCAACTGCAGCACTTAGTTCAAATTTTCACAAATTTGTGTCACGACACTAAAGACAATGCCTTTTCATGAATAGGAAGTTTTCAGAAGGCTCTAGGAGGCTGGGAGGCAGGCCGTTTGTCTTTTGATGGTTGCATCATTTCTGAACTTGAAATCTGGTTCAGTGAGAAAAGAATCCAAAATGGAGGAGCTTTAAGGGGAAATGGATTAACATCTGGCTCGATGCAGGTGCATTAAGAAGAGCGAGTTCATAGCAGTGACCCTTAGGACAGTGAGCAGCAGAGCCACTGACAGTACTGTGGTGTCCTCTCCTCAAAAACCTTGAGGGACTTTTGTCACCATGAGTGGTGAATCTCTAAGTACCTAATTTTCATTATAATGCAGAGCAGGGAGTTAGGAAATATTAAGCTAGTGTTTTAGTTTTAAAGGCATGACTGTTATTTACAAAGGTGTTAAGTCTAAGGAAGTTGAAAAGTAGAGATTTGTCCATCCTAGTAGGCAAATAGTAACAGTCTAAAACAGCCACTTTGGCTCTTCCAAGCAATTGTCTTTTTTTTTTTTTTTTAGTTTTTAACTAGGTTGTTGTTGGTTACCATTCTGTCTTTTTTGCCAGATTTATAATCTGGGTGCTCGATACAATCAGTTGGTTAAATTTTGCTTGCAGGTCTGTGTTTGTATTTTTTCTCTATTATTTATTTTTTTATTGAGATCCCAACCTTTTGATCTTTTGTGTTAAGTTGTCACTGTCTGTAATACTTCTAAGAGCTGCCACTAAATAACATAAAAACCTGTGGAGGGGGGAGCATCCCTCTCCTCATGGGGCCCCTCAGCTTGAGTCAAAGGGTTGCTCTTTCATCTTGATAAGCAATATCCAAGTGCCTTGAACAGCATCCCCTCCGCGCAGTTTACCTTCAGCTGGCCGGCATTCCAAGCAGTAGCTCCCACGGCAGCCGACCCTCCTCCTCTTTATGCTCTATCAGTTTAAAAAGCTGATTTGTACCTCTCCCCTGGGAGAAACGGTTCCATATAAAACACTAACACTTAATTACAAGCTCCTTTATACCATTTTAAATGGTTTCTTTTTGTTAATTGGAGGCAGTGTTCATAACTTAAGGTTTCTGCCATTACTTAGCTGGCTAAGTGGAGGCTCAACATAAAATCAGTGTTTGCATTTAGCCTCTTGACCCTTGGTTCCTGCCCAAGTTCCTTTGTGGTATCCAAGGTGGCAGGTGTGTAGACTCTGTGCTGGACCCTTGCCCACTCACTTCCACCCCAGAAAAGTGAGTCCTCTGTCCTCGCCTAGCTCCCAGGTTGAACTCCAACTCCTCTTTTGAACTTCTGGATCAGTCAAGATGTCTGTGATTTCTGTTCATCAGACCTCTCTTCTTTAGATAGAATTATCACAGCTATTTAGCTCTGCTCAATTATTCTTCTAGCCAACCTGCCCCAGGATGCAGGCTTGGGAGAAGTCATCAAGAAATGCCAGGATCGTGGCTCATAGGACTACTATCAAACCACAACACTCTGCCTGTGAAAGTAGTTGGGGCAAAAAAGAACAGTTCACAGGCTCCCTGGGGTAGTTCCCTGAACTTCCAAAGCACAAATGCCTCCCTGCCCAGCTTCCTCCTGTCGGCATCTTTGTTTTCACCCCATTTAAAAGTCATCCTGCCCCATGTGGACGTTTAGGTCTGCTGGCTGGTGGTTCAGGCCCAGAGTGCAACAGAGCTCTGGATTTAAGTATTCCTCTGTGCTCTTTCTGGCCATGAGAGGCCCGCCCACTCACCATCCCCCAGGCCCAGATGGCCAGTTCTCATACCCCGCCTACCTGCATCAGTTGTGCAGCTCACAAGCAAACCAACCAAGAGGCAGGTGGTACTCTAACTCGCAGGGATAGCTGTGGGTGTCGGTGACTGCCCTAAGATCATGCAGCTGACATGGAGATGAGAGACACAAGATGAGCTCAGTCAGAGGCAGGTGCCTTCCCGACTAAGGTTGCACTGGATTTCATTGTTCCTTCTGAACTCGTGTCCTTTTGTACAGGAGTGATCGATGAACTCTGTTCACATTCTATGCAATGTTTTTCATTCCTCTGATTTTAGAAAAATCTCACTGAAAAATATCAGAGGAGCTGGGGGGAAGATACGCATGTCCTTCTGAGATCAGCACAAAGTAAAGTGATGGTGAACTACTGTATCTTGAGCTGAGGGACGACAGCCTTTGCCTTAAATGCACTATGACAGGTGCCTCTCAATAGGCCAATAAAAACAAAAGTCTGCCCTTGGTCATTCCCAGGCCCGCCTTGCTAAGGCCAGGAAGCCAGCTGTGCAGGGGAAATGTGGCAGCGTGGCTAGCGTGGTGGGCTGCTCGCTGGCTGCGTAACTTCTGCATGGAGGCTTGGCTCCCGCTGCGCTGCAGGGAGGCCCCCATCCCTCCTTGGGTGTCCCCCCTCGTCTTCAAACTCACATTTGCCCCTTCTACCTCACTAACCTGTGCTCTCCACCGATGTCACTCCTCAGAACCACGCCCATCGCAACTGAGGCAAGTGGGCCAGGTGGGAGTGAAAAAGCCGCAAGCGTGGCAGACTCGAGGACATCTGGGCTGGTGGGCGGGCTTTTGTCTCGATTCTTCAGTAAGCACAACATGGACAGACAGCTGTGCTCTGCAAGGCACATGGATTTTTCTCTTGACTTCCACCTGCTCCTAGAGCTCCAGCAGCTGTTTCCTTTGCCGTCAGGGGGCGGTCTCAGGCCTCAGACGGCCTTGTCTTTGGTCTGCCTTTGCTTTCTGCTCATTCCCGCTCAGCTGTTATGATCCATCACAGCCATTTCCCTGGCCCTGGACCAACCCGCAACATCTCCATAGGAGGACGCTTCCCCAGGAACTCTGTAGCTGTCCAGTATCTGTTGTCTCAGGCACTGGGGGTCAGGATTAAGGCTTCACTGTGAGCTCTCCTGTGCCAATGTCAAACATCCCCAGGACGGGAAAGGATATATGGGCTTCTCCAGCCTACATGCCCAGTCTTCAGTCTCATGGCCCTTTCTTCCCAAAAGAATATACCAGTTTCCATCCAGTGCCAAAGAAAGCCAGCTCCCAGTGTGGCTGGTTGGATGTGGGTCTACCTGCTGTGGTGACCAAAGTGTTCTGATGGGGAGAATTTGGAAGTGGGGGCCTCAGGATTTGTGTCATCATCATGTGCTTGGGCATTTAGCAGGAAAAGCTCACATTTAGAAGCCCCCCATGCATCTGTGGTTTCATTTGAGTCTTGACAACAAACATTAGGGAGGCCTTTGTGACTAACAGAGCAGGGCTCGTGCCCTAAGTGGCAAGTTGGGGCCTGGAACTCTCTAACAAGGTTCAGTTCACCTCCTGGGTTTTGAATGCGGGTGTGACCAGCACATTTGCATGATAAGAGAATGGCTCGATTTGACAATATTATTTCCATTTCTTTGAGTCTTTGCCTTTTTGTAGATGAAAACTAACGGGGGGAAAAGGAAAACAAGTTCCCAATTAAAGTTCGAGAAAGATCCAGCCTGTGAAACCCTTAAAAGATGGGCTGAAAGCCAAGGCCAAAACCCTCAGGACGGAAGGGGAAGGGTTGCAGGGAGCAGCAAACAGCGTAAAATGAGCCCCTGGCCCAGTCTTCCCAACCCCAGAGACCCCAGCAGCCTGCGCTCCCTGTGTCTGGTCAGGAGCAGAAGGAAATGTGATTTCCTCCTGTCTGCCCCTCTTCCAGGATCTTTCCCCTCCTGCCCAGGCCTCAACCACTGCCCTTCCACCGCCACCCCCCTCCAAAGACACCATGTCCACACCGTCAGTGACATCATCTCGAGTTTTCATTTTTGGATGAAGTGACATTTAGCTTTAACAAGACATTTCCAAAGCGCCTAGTCTGCTCCAAAATGCTAACTTTCAAAGTTGAGCATTGTAGGCGATGAATCCTGAAAAAAGGCTGGTGAGAGAAAGACATTAGGCTATGCAGAAATG